CTTTGTGATATTATACATTTTTCTCAGGAGGAGGCGGTGGTTCACAGTATCATAGGCTGCTGACAGGTCTATGAAGACAGCTCCTGTGATCTGCTGCCTTTCAAAGCCATCTTCTATGTGCTGAGTCAGGTTCAACACTTGCGATGTGCAGCTTTTGCCTTTCCTGAAGCCAGCTTGCTGTGGGATCAGACATGGTCTATTTTTTCCATAATTCTATGCAAAATAAGTCTCTCCAGAACTTTGTAGAGGTGGCACAACAGGGAGATTGGTCTGTAGCTTTTTGGATCATTACGGTCTTTGCCTGGCTTCAAGATGGCAATGACTCTTGCTTTCCTCCAGATTTTGGGGATCTGACAGGATGCAGTGCAGTTGTTCATCAGCTCCAGCAACCAGCACCTTGCTTTTGGACCAAAGTTCTTGATTTGTTCCATCCGTAGATCATCCAGGTCAGCTGCTTTGCCATTTTTACATTTATTGAGAGCCATGTCCAATTCAGTAGATATAAAGGCTTCATGAAAGTTGTTCTCAATCTCTGGTTGTCTGGCTATTGGTTTCTTTCCTACTTTGGTGGCAAGGTTGGGTTTCCTATTCTTCAAGAGTTGGTGTGCTATCTGATCTGCCTTTATGTTGGCATGGGTATTAGTTTGTGAGGGGTCATTGCTCAGCTGTCTTAGCAGCCTCCACGTCTTCTGGCTGCTCCTGCCCATGTTGACCTCTGTGATGAGCTTTATCCACTGTTCTTTCTTGGCTTCAGAGATGGAGGATACAGTGCTCTGCGCTGCCTGAAGGGTTTGCTCACTAAATGGGTCTTCATTGTGGAGCCTGTAATAGTTTTCCAACAAGGCAGCTGTTTCAGGAGTAATGCCCTGAAGGTAGTTGGTTCTGCAGCCTCTCGGTATAGAGGCCTGTGAGCAGGTTTTCACTATTTCAATAAAGTGCTCGTATTTCTCAGGGATTGGTGTGACCGATGTGATCATGTCATCTAACATGTCTGAGAATTTAGTCCAATCTGCCTAACATAGTGCCAGTACAGGGTTATTTTTGAGGATGGTGAGAAATTTAATGAGCCCTCATTTCAAAAACAATCTAATGGATAAAGGTAATACTGTATAACAAGTACGTTTCTAAGCTTTCTATGTATATTTGTACACAGAAGAGAGTAGCTAATGATGACAATTGTCTCTTTTTTCTGTTTATCCCAGATTATCTGGCAGTGCAGACTCATATAATCCAATTTAAAGCAGAAAACCTGGGATCAGATATAGTTATATTTATTTATTTATTTATTTATTTATTTATTTGCTTCACTTTTATACCGCATTTTTCAGCCCTTAACAGGCGACTCAATGCGGTTTACAGTGCAATTAAAACATAACAGTGCAACAACAGGATCAACATATCGATCCACAACAATTAACAATCAGACAGGACAAATCAACAAGACAACATATATAACGCCTCAATTGAAATCTATTATATATAGATATATATAATTTAAAGCAGAAAACCTGGGATATAGGGCCTGTGTGGAAGGGCCCCTAGTTGTCTCAGTATTGATTTGGCATATTTGAACATGCTTTCCATATTATACCTTATGTAAGTATATCCATGTGTGTACTCCTGTGTAGATAGAGAGCCCTCTCACTCATACAGTATGATGGTATTTCAGTGGTTTTTGCATTGCTTGCTGTGAGGCTGATGAACCATAGGGAACAGGCATGTAGCCGGGGGGGGGGGGCTTGGGGGGCTTCAGCCCCCCCCCCCCAAATTCTCATGGTGGTCCGCGAGAAGGCCTTACTGGTACATTATTTAAACTGTTATGTTTATTCATATCATGATCTGATCACCATGCTCAATATATCCCATATGTATGGGGTAACGATACAAAAGGTTTGCTAGGGTAGACCCTCTTTCACTCAGACTCAGCCCCCCCGAACCAAACTCAGCCCCCCCCCCCGAAACAAAATCCTGGCTACGGGCCTGATAGGGCAGATATGCTTTGGACTTCTGTTTCCAGGAGCTCCAAGCACCATGATTAATGTAATAGAAGTATGAGACTTGTAGTCCAAACTAACTGAGGCTTCCACATCTAATCCTGGCTTAGAAAATGTTTCTGACTTAAAATTAATATGATTTCTGTGGTGTCAAGCCAAGATAGTCATCTAATCCCCTATAATGATTAACATATGCATGAATTTAACTTTTATAACTTATAAAAGGTCACGTCTCTTTTATTAGGCCATCAGTAGCATAGAAATAATACTACATATGTGCAGCCAAATGTACTGAGAAATATGATTCATGGTACAGACAACACAGACTCCTTCAGAAGCTTTATTTTAAAAAACCCCACAGTGTTGCATGTACAGAGGTCACTTAATCAGAGAGAGGAAGTGTTATTCCCAGTTGGCAGATACTGCAGGCTGAATAGAAAAGTATCAAACATTTTCAGAAAAGGAAGTCTTTTGAGACATTTCAGCTCATTCCTGGTTTTATCAGTTGAACAAAGTGTTAGAATTTCTCAGAGGCAAAGGAAAAATAGGTGCAAAAGCAACATATTGACAACACAGCCCCAAAATGTCTCAAAATGGGAGAGAACATAATATTTAAGAATATAAACTCTGTTTCATCAAAGACTCCACATAGTCATGGTTGCCAACCCACTGTTTCTACCATGCCTGACATTACTTTTTGGTTAAAAGAAAGTCCCAGAGCTACAGTCCTTTCCCAATACAGGCAGTCCCCAAGTTATGAGCAGGAGGGGTTCTGGAGGTTTGTTCTTAAGTTGGATTTCTATGTAAGTCAGAACAGGTACATTTTTACACTTAAAAATGTATCTGTTCTAACTTACATAGAAATTCAACTCCAGAACCCTTCCTGATCATGACTTGGGGACTGCCTATATTGGGAGAGATCTGAAGCCCTGGGTAGCATAGGGAAGGGTTAACATCCCTGTGGTGTCTGTCCCTATTCTGTTTGTGTCCCTATTCAAAAGATTTCACCTAACTTTCTGTCCCTGTGATAATTGCATTTTGAAAAAAAAAATTGGCTTCTTGTGGAAACCGGGGTTGGTGATAAAGCTTCAGTGGAGACCCCTTTTCTCCCATGATCACTTTTTCAGGAGTGGATTTCTCTTTAGAGAAGTGGATTTCTTTCACTTCCTGTTGTCTCAGCCCAGTTCTTAACTAGGAGTTGTTTGTAAGTCAGATGTTTCTAACTCAGGGACTGCCTGTATTGGGGTGGTGGGTTTTTTTAAGGAGACCTGAAGAGGCTGATTGTTATTTTGTAATAAGAAATGTAAAAGATTCTACTTTGTAATACCATTGTTTTAGGGAGGGAAAAGATATTAGAAAATATATGAGAAAAGGCTTTTAAAAACACCAGATTTCATAAATGTTAGAAAAAAAACCTATCAAGGTAATTGCTAGATAGTTGAGAGATGATTTGCAGTCCAGGACTTATTCTCTGGGGGTAAAATACATGTGTCTTTTTTTGCAGTTTTCTGCACAGAAAGCAGTATTTTGTGTTGTACTTTCTACAAAAATACAAAGGGCTATGTTTTGCACAGAAGTCCTGGACATCAAAAAATCTTTTGTGAAGTGCCATTTTCAAAGATGTTCTCACCTTGAGGTGAAAAATGGTAAAATGATTTGTTCTTGCTTGCAGAACTGAAACACACACATATATAAATATATATAATACAGAAACTTTATGTAAACCGTGGTTCTTTTTACTGGTGATGCATTTCCTTCTCCCGGTTTATTTTAAAAATATACAAGATAGGCCTTAGGGAAGAGGCAGATAAAACATTTTAGAAGGTTTAGGTCCACTGCTTTCACATCATTTCTTTAAGGGGACATGGGGGATCTATCTGCTACTTTACAAAAACCAATGCTCTCATTCAAAGCATCATTTCAAGGGCTATCAGTCTGCTGTCAGAATGAAACTAAGGAAATGTAAGAAACACAATCTTAAAATCAACTAATTTACACACTTCCAGGTACAAAGGACAGACTTACATTTATGTTCAGGACTGGCAGAAAGTATGAATCAGACTAAGTAAGGATATATATATTGCTTTGTTGTGGTCTTTCCAGTCAGAGTGAGATATATTGCACTTCTGTTTACACTAAAGATGCCATTTCTAAGTTTGTGTGTGTAATTAAAATACAGAAAATTTATGCAAATCCTTCTTTTCTCTCTCTCTCTCTCTCTCTCTCTCTCTATATATATATATATATATATAGAGAGAGAGAGAAGCATTTCCTTTTCTTGGAAGATAATATAAGTGACCATTGTAAGAGGCAGGCAGCCAACATTCCTAAATGCTATTTACTTATAGAAGCTTAATTCTGCATCAAACTGCAATCTGTTTTATTTTTTTAATAACAGACAGACTTTAGTTATATCCTTTTAGTGACTTATTGTTTGTGATAGTGCTTAGTGCTGGGCTTTTTTCTTATTCAGAACATTCCCTAAATGGTGGTGGATTGATTAGCTATCTATATACTTCTCTAAAACTTTTATAATATTCTGTTCCCAGACCATCCAAACCTGGAGCTTTCCCAGCTTTTAAATTCTTAATAACTTCCTTTATTTCTGTCTTCTTAATAGGTTGTTCCAATAATTCTTTGTCTTTCACCTCCATGGAATACCATTAATCTAGAAATTTTGTCAATCTCATCCCTATCTTTCAATCCACAGTATCAGCAAAGAAGGAAAGCAGATTCATAATAGCTAATAGTCATTGGTTTGTGAGTTCCATTTAAAGCTACATAACTCTTGAGCAATGACTCTCATCCATTAATGATATATTGTGTCTTCAGTTTCTACAGTCCTATAAGCAGCCTTTATATGGGAACCATTTTCAAAACAGGGGAAATAACTGTGGTGTGCAATGTCAATTGGAAAGGAAAACAGTGATACAATCTTATTTAAAAAGACTAATTTGTTTGTTATGCTCAAACTTCTTTTATAATCCATTTTCTTTTTCTGTGTAGGTTGACAATTAATGCTGAATGTTATCTTCAACTTCATAACTTTCCCATGGATGAGCATTCCTGCCCACTGGAGTTTTCAAGCTGTAGGTGGTAAAAGAGTTCATATATTTCTCTGATTTCAAGGAATCCTATTGATTAAGAGGCTCCAGAGTGGTTCCAGATTACAGCTGGAAAAGGCATTGCATCTTTGGTGTCTCATATCATCTTCACCCCATTGAGATGAAGTAGTTTCTCAGTAAGAAAAGTGACATGGTAAATTACTACAGCCTTCAAAGACTTAAACCTGTTATATGGCTCTACGTTATAGGCCTTTTATAGACATGGCTCATGATCCATGAAAGCTCTTGATTTGGAAGCAATGAGACAGTTAGAGAAAGATAAATGAATATCATGGTGTTTATGGAATTGGGATTAATATTGGAAAAAGGTATTTCAGTCCTTATCCAAGTACAGAAAGCAGAAAATATTGGTGCCTTGTATTGATAGATAGGATAACGTATGAGTGGGGAAGCTTTGATCCTCCTGATACTTTGTACTTTAGCTCTCAGCAGCTCCAGTAGTAAAAGATTATGGGTTTTGCAGGCTCAAGCATTCCTCAGCCCTAGTTATCAAGGAGTATAGTGCATACACAAGATGTCCTAATGGCAGATAACTCAGATTATCTGCTTTGAACTAGATGATGTGAGTTGACACTGCCAGGTACTCTGGGATAAAAAGATAATCTGGGATCAGATCCTGGGATATAGGGCAGTGTAGATCCAGCCTTAGACAGAGTGATATAGTACATCACAGAGAATCAGAAGCAGTTCATCATGTCTGATGTTTATGTTTTTATTTTTGTTCTGGAGGAAAGTTTTGAAACCGGAAGCTATGCAATATCTGGTTTTATAAAACTGTAATTGCGGGTCTACTTCCTGACCAAATAGCCATGATAAGCCCATAGAAATCTGCTTTAATCTGATTTGCCATAGCTTATGAATCAGCCCGGAAGACATATTTGCTGTTTTGAGTTGCATCAAGGAAGGATGAGCAGTCAGTCAGTAACAAAATGTACATAATTTCATGAATAACAATGATACAGAATTTGGCATGAGGTCTATTCATATACATCAATACAAAGATCATTGTTAATAGAATAACATATCCTAAATATAACATCAAAATGATTTTCAGTGAGCCTACATTTATCCAAAAAATGCAGCTTGAGTAGCTTTCAGAATTACACCCAGTGGTGTGAACATTAATAAGCATATAAATTTAATTTGTTCATAAGGACATAAAACTGTAGTGGGTAGAAAAACACTGAGTACAATTTATCTCTAAATGTTAACCTAATGAGGGATGAAATATAACCACTGTAGAGTTTATTTATTGCTTCATCTTTACTTCATAATTTAACAAAAAGTGCTTTCAGAATATGTCCTTTCATATATTCTGGTATACAGGTTTGCCAGTGCATATGTGTAAGTTGCCCAACAGAAGTATGTAGACAAAAAAGAAAATGTCCAAATTGGCTTCTGTGGTCATACTTCTTCTGCAGGACTGCAAGTGGCACAACACTTGCAGTCCTGCAGAAACCCTATACGGCTCCAGCCCAGCTTACTTATCTGAATGTATCTCTCTCTACGTTCCACCTAGTAATTTAAGATCTACTGGGGAGGCCCTGCTCTCAGTCCCACCAGCGTCTCAAATGTGTCTGGTGGGGACYAGGGACAGGGCCTTCTCGGTGGTGACTCCCCCGCTTATAGAATTCACTCCCCAGTGAGATTAGATCAGTGTCCTCCCACAGCAGTGGTTTAGGCACTGAACTCAGTCAATAGGATTGTTTGAAAATTGGAAATGGCTTTATGATKTGTGATTATGTGATTTGTTCTATGTGATTATGTAATTTTAATTAATATCACTGTTTAATTGTTATGTAATGGATTTTATATTGCTATTTTATATTGTTGTTTTGATACTGTTGGCATTGAATTGTTGCCTGTGTTAGACACCCTGAGTCCCCCCTCGGGGGTGAGAAGGGCGGGGTAGAAATGGTCTAAATAAATAAATAAATAAATAAACACACAGAAAATGTATCACTACTGACATATATTCTATCCCATTACAATGGCTTTTAAGCTGTTGCATCCCAGATCAGGAAACGAGACCATAAGATTAAATCCACCACACTGGACTGTGGGGAAAAACAATCCTTTTTATTGATGAGAAATGGTTACAAAAGAAAGGTAAATGCAAAGTCAAAAAGCCATAGTAGAAACTCAGCAGTCAGGAAAATCTCTGAACTAGAGCAAAATTCCAAAAGCCACAATACAAAAACCTGGAACCTGTTAGTATCTCACTAACCCTACTTGAAAACTAGAAGCCTCTGGGAATGCAGGCCATGGAACACGGGAAATCTGCCAAGGTGTTACCTCAGTCTAAACGATGCTTGATCTAACGAGGCAGCCCGGGGAGAGGCCCCTTAAACTAAAGAAACTATTTCTTGACACGCCTCCAGACTTAGAAGCCTGAGCCTCCCTTTCCCTTAATCTACTTGACCTTCGCAGACCCTGCGATTCACTCCTGTTTATCCAAATCTGTTCTCTTCAATCCTCATTAAAAAAAAAACAGGTGTAGTTCCTCTGGAGAGCTATCACTGCTTGGTTCCAAAACATTCTCATCAGGAGAGTTAGTTTCACTTTCCCCGCCACTGACCTCAGAATCAACAGCTTCAAAACCATCAGGGAAAGTTGTATGTTCAGAAGCCTGTTCAGTTGCATCAGGAAATATAATCAGAGAATCAGGGTCAGGTTCACACAGAGATTGAGGCTCAGGTTCACATGGAGGCTGAACTCCAACATAAGCAGTGTTTTATCACTGAATAACGGTGGTTTAGGAGAAGCAAATACATATTATTCGAATAACTGAAAGAAATGCCAGGACTTAGCACAAGGGCATGCTTTTGGTTCATTAAAATTACAGTCATTCTTGAATTCAAGAATGTGGCACACTATGCAAAGAAGGAAAATAATAATAATTAAAAATGGGAGAAATCCTCTCTATCCTATGTAGACTACTTGCCAAACATTTACAAAATTTTGTCACCAGATGCATTGCATTCATTTAAAATATATTCTCTTCCCATAATAACATAATGTTTCCTCCAAAATAAGTTGGTTTAGTAAAAAAAAAAAAGCAGAGGCACTACCAACCCCAATTTTGTTGTTATTATTACCTATGGTACCTTCATTTTTTAGTCGGGTTAAAATGGAAAGCTTGAAAAACAGTTTTTTTCTGGTTGTTTTGCTCAAATATCCCACACACCTAGAAGCAACTGGAAAACATGGAGAAGTGAGAAATGATAGTTGCATGCTTCTCAACTAAAATAATACACAGGATCCCCCTTTTAAAACACCACTAAGTTTAGAGTCTAAGATTATGATACCTGGTTGCACCACTAAAATTAAACTTGCAGTCATCAACAGAGTGACAAAATATTCATTAGGATTTTACATCTTTCTGTTATGGCAGAGTAATTGGGTTTTTCTTTTGCACACTTGTTGTGCTCCTGTTTGCTAGATGGCTACCCAAGGAATGAAATTGTTTACAAATGGAAGAAATCTTCGGTTGAAGTGGCAGATCCCAAATACTGGCGCTTATATCAATTTGCATTTGTGGGCTTACGAAATACAACAGATATCTCTCACACACAGTCTGGTAAGGAGACGCCTCAAATTTCCCGGCTTCTGTTCAAATTGGATTATATATTTCATAGGTTTCTCGACTCAAACAGTGGAATATCCCTAATGTGTTTGATATTAGAGCAACAAAAATGCAATTATGCTTGCTACATTTCTGCAAAATAAAGTGCAAGAAAGTGCCATAATTTCTTTGTTATATCTTGTTGTTTTATTATGTTTTCATAACAGGAAATATTAGAAAACAATAAACAGACTCTCCTTCTGAATCTCTACAAATAAAGCATAGCAATTATAATTACAGATACATCTCCCTTCTAAATTGTTCATAAAACCACAGAAGCAAGTATCTGAATAGGCAATTGTTTCTGGATTTAACCACATGGAACTGAGCTGGTGGAAGTAGACTTACCCCTGTTCCTAAAAATAACCTCTCCAGGCCTCACTCCAGGCCCTTCTAGACAGGCCCTATATCCCAGGATCTGATCCCAGGTTTTCTGTTTATCCCAGATTATTTGGAAGTGCAGACACATATAATCCAGTTTAAAGCAGAAAAAATAGGATCAGATCCTGGGATATAGGGCCTGTCTGGAAGGGCCCTTCATGCATAGATAGCCAGGGACTTCACTCATGGAAGGTACACCCCCTTACCTTCTGCCCCATAGCACACCTTTTCAGCAGACTCTGTAGGCATCTACACAAGATTTTGAGGAGTGTTGCAGAGAGAAGATGGGGTAACCAATTTCATTAGCCCAGTTGCTCAGCCCGGAATTAAATCCAAAACTTGTTTTTCACTTCCAACCAATTCCCAGGTTTAGTGTCCAGGTATTACATTATTATCCACCACTCCTCCATAAAACAGAATATTTATGTAATAGACAACATGCAACTACAGTAAGGTGTTGTTCTGAAAGGAAAGAAGAAGAGAAGATGTAACAGGCGGTCACTTGCATGATCCATCTGACTGTGGGTTTCTTTTTCCTTTTTCAGGAGATTATGTTGTCATGACAATCTTCTTTGTCCTGAGCAGACGCATGGGATATTTTACAATTCAGACATACATTCCTTGCATCTTGACTGTTGTTCTTTCCTGGGTTTCATTTTGGATTAATAAAGATGCTGTGCCTGCGAGGACATCATTAGGTACCTGTGCACATCCAAATTACCTCTGGCTTTAATTGTGTTTTAGTTTTTAATAACTATCCTTGGTTTTTATTGGGTTTTAATGTCTTTTTTGTTTTGTGCAAAGCTTGGTATAAATAACTGGTTACCTAATTTTCTTAACTTATTTTTCCAGTAACAATGTAGATTGCATCTGCATTGTAGAAAGAATCCAGTCTGACACCCTTTAATTGCCATGTCTCGGTGCTATGAAATCCTGGGATTTGTAGTTTGGTAAAGGACCTGCACTGTTTGGCAGAGAAGGCTAAAGACCTTAATGATCTGCTGAGAAATGGCAGTTAAAGTAGTGTCAAACTGTATTCATTCTACAGCAGGGGTCTTCAGACTTTTTAAACAGAGGGCCAGGTTACAGTCCCTCAACTGTTGGAAGGCCGGATTATAATTTGAAAAATGCATGAATGAATTCCTATGCACACTGCACATATCTTATTTGTAGTGCAAAAAAAAAACCACTTTAAAAGAATACAATAATTAAAATGAAGAACATTTTTAACAAATATAAACTTATTAGTATTTCAATGGGAAGTGTGGGCCTACTTTTGGCTGATGATATAGGGTTGTTGTTGTTGTTGTGTGCTTTCAAGTCATTTCAGACTTAGGTTGACTGAGCGAGGGCTGGGTAAATGACCTTGTAGGGTCGTATTCGGCCCCCGGGCCTTAGTTTGAGGACCCCTGTTCTACAGTGTAGATGCATCCACAGTGTACTTTATACTAAAAATGTACCATAACAAGAGTAGTCTCACACCTTCTGAGATCTAACCACAATTTCAGTTACCATTATGGTTCTAAATATGTGTTCCTACTGAATAGTAGAGGAGAAGTATCATTTGGTTCAAGGATTGGTTTATCTTACTTACTCATTGTCTCGTTCATTCTAGTGAAAAAGAGCTGAATAAAATTAACTAATAAGATTAATAAATAGGGAATTTGTTTGTTTAACTATGATAAACAAACAAATTCCCTATTTATTAATCTTATTAGTTATTAATCTTATCAGAAATCATCCGGGCGTTCCCTGGGCAACGTCCTTGCAGACGGCCAATTCTCTCACAACAGGAGCGGTTGCTCCTGACACGACAAAAAAAAATAGTAACTAACAATGTTTGTGGCCTTGAAATTATAACCATGGCTTTATAAAAAGCTCTGCTTTTTGTGACCAGTCCAGAGAGCTTATCTAACTACACTAAACATTTAAGAAAAAAACAAAGAAATAAACAATACCATCAACAGCTGTCAAAGTAGTCAAGAAATTTCCGACTCTCCATATCTCTCTTTCAAATAGTATAAACAATGGTGGCATTTCTAACAGCACCATATGGAACCATGTTTTGTTTGCCTTCAGAAAAACACATGTGATGTGTTGAGCAGATCTGAATTTATTTCACAATATATTGTGTTTCTGCTAGCACTAGAGGCTGTGTTCTGTCGCCACTGGGTCCAAACAAAATGTCTTTATTCTATAGAACGCACACTTTAAACCCAGTGGGAAGCCGGGGTGCCCGAAGAGAGATTGTTAGAGACTTCCAAAAGTAATGGGCCTTAGAGTCTTTAAAAGTACAACAGTCTTTATTAAGGAACAAATCTTCAAACAAAACTTCACGGCTTTACTATTCAAGTCTTTAAGAGACTGGCACTAACTTGGTTTGACTGTACTATCTCATAAGGAAGAACTCTTTATAATCCCTCCCAGGCCGTCCATCACCTAGGCCTCGCTGGTCTGGGTAATACTGCCAATCCCCAAATGCGTCTGGAAACCGAGTAACCTACCAGACGAAGCTAGAAGATGTTTAGCTGGAATTCTGTGGTTCTGCAGTGATGTCCTGTGGAAACTTCAGGGCTGTTTTCCCCTCTGGTGCTGTGAGGCTGAGAGGCTGTGAGCTCTCAGCCAGAGCCTTTGGGACCTTTTCCTTCTGTTTCCCTGGAACTGGATGGTCACTGGATGACCCCTGGATGGTCGCTGGATGGACCCCAGATCACCTTTGGATGATCCCCGGATGGCTATTTCTATTTCCCCGGAAGGTTTTGAGGAATGAAGCCTTTCCTACGGGACTAGCTGATCTGCGTCCTATAGACTGGCTTCCTTGTGTGACTGAAAATAGGCCCCTTCCCTCCAAAAGGCAAAAAGGGGGCGGGACCAGGGATCCTAACTATAACTGGCAGGTGGCTTACCCTATAAATGCAAATTATAACAGGAAACCCCCTGCTGCAAAATCCCAAGCATGGGTTTGCACACAAACATATAAACACAGCAAATAAATCTGGAGCTCCTGGAACAGCTGTTCCAGAACAGGCTGTGCAAATCCATGTTCTGTTATTCTTCAGAAAGTTACATACAGCTTATTGAGCAAATCTGGATTTATTTCACAATATATTGCATTTTTATCATCTTGATTAAGGACTGTTCTCTTGATTCAGTGATCCTTGTTTACTAACACAAAATTGGATTTGCCTAGCCTCATTATAATCAGGTATATAAAGTTTCAGTACATGTTTTGAGGTATGATAGTATGTGGTGGGATGTACACTGGATTGTGTGTTGATGTGGTGGGGGGGGTGATGGCTGGGTGTGATGTGATGTATGGGCATGTGGTGCTATGGGCATGGATGTGATGATGGGCATGGGTGTGGATGTGGTGTATTTGGTGTGTGGTGGGGTGATTTGTGGCCTTTGTCATGGTGTGATTGTGTGCTTGATTGTGTGGTGTTGGGAATGGATGGTTGGTGTGTGTGGGGATGGGGGTGGTGTGGGGTCCATGATGCATGGTGCATGGGGTGTTGATGGATTGTGTGGGTGTGGGTGGATGGATGATGTGTTGATTTGTGGTGGTGGTGGTCTGTGGGATGGATGTATGGACATGCCAGCTCCAAACCTTTGCTCTTGTATAAATTCTGAATAATGCTTTGGTTGTTGTTGTTCATTCGTTCAGTCATCTTCCGACTCTTCGTGACCTCATGGACCAGCCCACGCCAGAGCTCCCTGTCGGCCGTCACCACCCCCAGCTCCTTCAAGGTCAGTCCAGTCACTTCAAGGATGCCATCCATCCATCTTGCCCTTGGTCGGCCCCTCTTCCTTTTACTTTCCACTTTCCCCAGCATAATTGTCTTCTCTAAGCTTTGCTGTCTCCTCATGATGTGGCCAAAGTACTTCAACTTTGTCTCTAGTATCCTTCCCTCCAGTGAGCAGCCGGGCTTTATTTCCTGGAGGATGGACTGGTTGGATCTTCTCGCAGTCCAAGGCACTCTCAGAACTTTTCTCCAACACCACAGTTCAAAAGCATCTATCTTCCTTCGCTCAACCTTCCCTAAGGTCCAGCTCTCACATCCGTAGGTGACTACAGGGAATACCATGGCTTTGACTAGGCGGATCTTTGTTGCCAGTGTGATGTCTCTACTCTTTCTATTTTATCGAGATTGGACATTGCTCTCCTACCAAAAAGTAAGCGTCTTCTGATTTCCTGCAGTCTGCATCTGCAGTAATCTTTGCACCTAGAAATACAAAGTCTGTCACGGCCTCCACGTTTTCTCCCTCTATTTCCCATTTGTCAATCATTCTTGTTGCCATAATCTTGTTTTTTTTTATGTTTAGCTGCAACCCAGCTTTTGCACTTTCTTCTTTCACCTTGATTAGAAGGCTCCTCGGCTCCTCCTTGCTTTCGGCCATCAGAGTGATGTCATCTGCATATCTGAGGTTGTTAATGTTTCTTCCAGCAATTTTCACCCCAGCCTTGCATTCATCAAGCCCCGCACATCGCATGATGTGTTCTGCATACAAGTTAAAAAGGTTGGGTGAGAGAATGCAACCTTGCCGTACGCCTTTCACAATCTTGAACCAGTCTGTTGTTCCGTGGTCAGTTCTTACTGTTGCTACTTGGTTCTTGTACAGATTCCTCAGGAGAGAGACAAGGTGGCTTGGTATGCCCATCCCACCAAGAACTTGCCACAATTTATTATGATCCACACAATCAAAGGCTTTAGAATAGTCAATGAAACAGAAATAGATGTTTTTCTGAAACTCCCTGCCTTTCTCCATTATCCATAGTATAGCACAATTCTAACCTAGATATGTTGGAGAAACATGGCAACCCACTGGCTGTTTACATCATGGCCACTGCTGTTTACAGCAGATAAATAACTAAAAATGTAAGCAAAGCACATAACCTGGAACATATTCCAATAAACTCTTCATACCAGCATATGGAACGGGTTAAAACTTTGCTCTGTAACGACAACACATAGTGTATGCAAAGCTATAGATCTTCTGTGAGCTATAAGCTTGTTTGTCAAAGATAGAGTAGTACAATAAAGGTGAAATATACACCTCTAAAAATAAATATGCTAGCCCTTTGTTGTGATGTGTCTATATTTATTCATATTTATATGTTGCTTTTCAACCTCAAGGATCTCTAAGAGGTTTACAGTGAAAACATCATAAAACATATTTTAACAATTACTTATATCAAAGAACAAAAGGACAAATGTAGAAAATATCTAAACAAAACAGTCAGAAGGTTTGGTGAAATGAAACTGTCTCGGGAGATATAAGCAACCTTAAAATATAAATACAGTCCTTTGAACATTCTGAAACTTATTTGGATTCAGATACATATTTTTTTTTGACAGTAGAAAATTATGCCTGCAGTGACTAGTCATGATTTCCTTACTGCTTTTCATTCAGAAGCCTCTTGAAATGCTGACAAAAGTAATCCAATTAAATACCATAAATGCATAATTAAAGCCACAAGAAGATATGTTTCTCTGGGCCCTTCCAGACAGGCCCTACATCCTAAGATCTGGTCACAGGCTTTCTGATTTAAACTGGATTATGTGAGTCCACACTGCCAGATAATCTGGAATAAACAGAAACCTGGGGTCAGATCCTAGGATATAGGGGCCTGTCTGGAAGAGCTTTAAGTTTACCCTAAATGTACCAAACTGCTGTAATCAATTGCAGCTATTTCATGGCTGTTTCCCCCTTAGTCAAGTGATCTCTGGAATTGCAATGTCTAAATACAATCACAAGGTCCTTTGGAGGAAAAAAAAATCTGTTTTTGTCCTTTTTGAACAGGCATCACTACTGTGCTGACCATGACCACGTTGAGTACCATCGCCAGGAAGTCTCTTCCCAAGGTTTCCTATGTAACAGCAATGGATCTTTTTGTCTCTGTGTGTTTTATTTTTGTCTTTGCTGCTTTGATGGAGTATGGTACCTTGCATTATTTCACTAGCAACAAAAAGGGAGCCAAAGAGAAAGACAAGAAATCAAAAAATAAGTCATCGGTAAGTATAAACATGGATATGTAAAAGTACAGTTGGGAACTATGCTGCCCTCTAGAGGTTACTAAACTCAACCTTCTAGTAGTCTTAAATCTTATGGGGGAAATCCAGGAAAAATGAGGATTTTTTTCTTGTTTTTCCAGTGTGCTTTTTTTTCCTGGAAAAATCGATTATAGAACACCTTTTTAGGATGCATTCCATAAGGTGTTTACATGTTTGTGTCTTCAAATTTATTTCTACAAGTTATGCAAGAAAAGATTTATGTAACACTGTGAACAGAATCAAATCACTATGATTCCCAAGTTTTGTTTCTTTTCATGTTCCTTTTGTGGAAATGAAGATTTTATGTCTGTTTGACACTGTAGAGAACTGGCGGAAACGAAATAATTCTGCCTCTTTTACTAATGTCAATCCTTTGTTCTATTTTTATTCAGGATGTAATTTCTCTTGGCAAAATCAAATGGGTTTCATATAGCTAGGTGTTCTTTACAGTTAAGGACCATGTAGTGCCATATGTTGCATAAAGAAAGAAGGAAAGAAGTTCTATTACATACATTCTGCGTAAATTGTACTCAGTTTCTATGCCAAAAGTTACATGTAATTAATTCTATTTTCCTGAAATAACCCAGTGATTTCAATCCATAAAGAGAGGAGTTCATTTTCATTTTTTATGGTTTGTTTTTGACCATGCTTCTAAATCTCTAAAATTTCAAATTGGTAGTCCTAGCCAGCACAACAAATGGTAAGGAGTTCTAGTTCAGTACCTTCTGGAGGGTCAAAAATTCCCACTTTTGTGTTCAAAATAATTTGAAATTACAATTTACCAACTCTTAGTGTTTCATAACTACTACTGCTGCTGCTACTACTACTACTGGTTCTGTATTATTACCCACATTTCTCTCTTAATCAAGAGTCAAAACAGCTTTTCCATATCAACTTTTTAGAAATACTTAACAATATTTTATCAATAAACCTGTAATTAATCACAAACTGAAACCTTGATGGAAGCTTCTTTATACTATTACAGATAGTATAATGTACAGAATGTGTGCTCATTATCTAACCAGGAAGGACTGACTAGGTGACTTTCTCAAACAAACAAAATGATGAGGCTCTCCTGTACTTTGAGGAAGCCTTGCATAACTTGATCCTTTCCATATGTGATATTTGATAAGTAAGCAGTGATATTCACCTGAGGCTTTGCTCCTGCATTAGGTACTACAAAAGAATTACTGCTAGGTTATTCCTAATAATGTATGTCCATTTGCAACCTGAAAACATACATACTGGGGGAAGAGCACAATGAGAGCACACCAGTACAGATTCTCACTTTCTTTCCAATGTTCATGCTGAAGTTTGGTCATGACATTGGTACAAATAATTGCTCTGTCAGGCTAGGACCAACCTGGGATGTTGTATCCTGTGATCTATTTCCCAGTCAAAACATCCTCATGGGCCTGTTGTTGTGGTTTTTGTTGTTGTTATATCTATTTATGCCTTGCTTTATCTCCCCCGAAGGGGACTCATAGCAGCTTAACATAAAAGCATCAACCTAACCATTTAAAATTTACAAATATGCGAACACTAAAAATGGATTAAATATATTTCCCGGTTAAAAACTATTAAAACAAATCCAAAGTTAAAAACTTTTAACTTTGATATTGTTTTTTTGGGGTTTTTTGGTTTTTTTAAAAAAACAATTACAGTTAGTCCTCTGCATTAGGAGCACAAAAGTGAAAAACCTTCCTAGAGAACACATATAGGATTTCTAAGTCTTCCAACACGTTTCAATTTGCCTTGGAAGTTGACCATAGCAATGTTTTGAAAGACCTAGAAAATCCTAGATGAGTTCTCTCTAGAAATCTCCAAGTCCTCCAGCATGATTGAGGAAGATGAGTATAGGATGACACTGGAAGACCCAGAGATTTCTAGAGAGAACAATTTAAATCAAGTCCATGAATAATCAAATCCACAAAAATCAAAACCACTAATATGGATGGGCTACTGTAGTACCCAGTCAGGGTTGAGGAGTAAGGCAAGATCGTAGGATGAACATTTTTTATATGGACGGCAAAGAAATTTGTATTAAACTAAGAAGCCAAGTATATTATATTAATGGACTGCTAACAAACATTTCAATAGTTTCTCATTTTCCCATCACTGAAAAAAAAAACCTTAAAAGTGGAAGCTATTTCTACCATTTCCTCTTCTTTGAATTATATCAAAGGCTGGTAACATCTCAAAAATCTATATCCTTAAAAAATATTTAAAAATCATGTAGTAGTCCTTGGCCAAAATAAGTACAGTAAAATGCCTGTTAAGAAAAAAAAAATCTGCAATGGTACACTAAGCATAGTGCATACTAATGTATTTACAAATTCCCTTATGAAAAAAAAACCAGTGTTTTGAAATTAGGTACAAAACAGGCACAGAGCAAAATGGTTGGTGAAATTAAGAGAAATATATTTAAATTGAGCTTGAAGGGATTTTTACATTCCTGTTTTGGCCAGACCAAAATATAGACTCCAGTAATGTGTGATGAAACATTTTGAAAAGTGATCTTCTGATCATGACAGATTATTGCTAGCAATGGCCCATGAATGTGATGCAATAGGCACTTTGAATATTGCATATAACTAGTTTTAATTCTTTTTTATGTACTGTGCCAAAATGTGAAAACGTTATGATAGAAACCTAAGTAAATCATTGTACTGGATGGCATGCACTTATACAGTCAGCCCTCCACATTGGCTGGTTTGGCTTTCGCGGATTTGCTTACTCACAGATATTCTTGAGGAATTTCTAGATCATCCAACACAATTCTATAGTCAACTGCCCCTTAACCCCCGAAATAACAAGACTGGACAACAATAGTTTGGATTCAAATTTGGGCAACTTTATTAAATGTTACCTAATTAACTTTAACTGAACTAAACTATGTGTCTAGAAACTTGGTATCCAAACCGAGGCAGCATCCTCGGCTATTCAGTGTGTAATATCTGTGTCCCTTGGAGCCCAAACCGGGCAGCCTCTAAGGTAAAGGTCTGGAGAAGCCTGTATCAAATTATTGATCTCAGACGCCCCTTTTCTGTGCCACGGGATGTCCCCTCACCCATTTGATGACCTCTAAGTGAGTGTTTGTTGTGTAATGACCCCAACCCTTAAGGGGTGCCTTGTGTATACATCAATATCTGTGTTTTCCTATGCTATTTATGCTAGCCTAATTAAAACACACCATCCCAGCTAGCCCCTAATAACAGTATAGGTTAGACGAAAAATCCCCCCAGAACATAGGGGGCAAAAAATTCCTACCCGGTTCCAGATGGCAACCAAATAATTATACTGTCAGTGGGCAGGTGTGGTGGGTTGAAATCTCATGGCAGAATGAGGGAGGAGGCTGGCTGCAACAGTCATCCAACCCCCGCCCCCTTTTCCAGATGGTTCCACTGGAACCATCCATTCTCTTCATTCGGGGGGAGAGGCAAATTTCTCCCCCCACCAACTTCGCTGGTGTGGAGAGTCCCTTTTTCATCAAAGTTGACCATGCTGGAGCACCCAGATATTCCTAGGGAGGTGTTCTCTCAGGTGTGTATGTATTTTCCACTTTCATGAGGGTCCTGCATCTCTAGCCCCAGCAAGTTGTACTCTGGAAGTCAAAGTAAGTTCTTCCTTATTTGCCCCTCACTACCAAAAATTGTTCCTTTTTCTTCTGTATGAATTTCAGCTTTATTCCTTTCATCTTTTTGATATAATGGACAAATGCTATGTGTCACAGGGTATCTGGGTGATGCACTGTAATCATCTTGTTACATTTGAGAATAACTCTTTCTTTTAAATGCCAATCTCTCAAGCCACTGTAAATAACAATTACTATCTCTTCAGTGATTTTGAACTTCAAAAGAGATTAGTGCAGAAAGAACATGAACATTTAATAATCCCTGAAGGGTAAACATACTAAAATATTAATATGCAGCAGATCATTAAGCAACATATAAATTTAGCCTGTTCCTATAAATAAATAAAAAGTTTTTTAGTTACTATGAGGTTGAGTTGTCGGGTTTTTGGGGTTTTTTTAAGCCTACACTTTTGAGCATAGTAGCTAGAATAATGGATCACTGTACTGGAATCATGAGAACTGCTAAGAGCTTTCATAAGTGGAACAGTGACTAAGTTAAAAAATAGAACAAAAAGCTTCATCTGTCTATCTATCTAACCCTTAGCTAATGGAAACTCTGATGCTGAAATAAATCTTTATTGCAAAGTGTGAATCTGTCAAATTTGCCTTTCTAAAACCAAAATTACATTTGTTGTTTGCATTTTAAAACAGTTTTAAATATTGGCAAAACAAATCCAGAACTCTGAAATCCTAAACACTCCAAAATTCAATATTATCTCCATGAATGATTGAGATAAGGATGCCTTTGCTTTCTGGTGGTTCAGTGTATACAAACTTTATTGCAGGCACATATTTATTAACAATATTGACTGAAATTATCTTCATGCTATCTGCATATGGTGTATATGAAACATAAACGAATTTTATGTTGACTCCAAGATATCACAATATGTATAAATACAGAAACCTAGGTATTCCAAATAAAAAAAATGCAAATCTGGAAAGTAAAGGTAAAAGTTTCCCCTCACATTAAGCCTAGTCATGTTTGACTCTTGGAGGTGGTGCTCATCTCCATTTCTAAACCGAAGAACCTCCGTTGTCTGTCTTGAAATCTGGAAAAAGAAATGTAAATGAGAAACCAAATCATGAAGAAGGAGAAGGAAGGTTTTTTTTTAAAGATGAATGAGTGTAGATGCAGAACATGTACAGAATAATGTATGTGGCAGGAAAAGTGGATTAGGATTTCCCCCTCCCTTTCTCTAGGATCTGTGATCCTCAGATGAAACTGAATAGGGAAAATTTAAAAAAAAACAACCAAAGGAAGTGATTGTTTACTTGCTGGTTAGTTAAACTATTAAATTCACTACAACAAGATGCAACAGCAAGA